GGAAAGCAAGGCTATGTGAAATTGAATGGAAAACGTCAGCTCAACTCATATGATTGTGGGAAAATTCTACAACTAGTCCTTCATCACCTTAGACGAAATAGGTTGAATACATCTCATTGCACTAAGTTATTGTTCATGAATTGCTGGAGATATCGAAACCTACGCATACCCAAAATATCAGGGCTTAGTAAACCAAGGTCTTACATTCCGAATTACATGTTCTAAATTATCACTGCACACATATACACACACACATACACGAGTTTTTTTTCATCGCACACATGCTCACAAAGTCAATGTTAGCCGGACAGTGAAGGATGAGAATATGCATCAAAAACGACTTTTTGTAGGTACATCTTCTGAAGAGACGACACTTTGGCATAAGCTTTCGTCTCCGAGGCCATATTGGCTGAGACCGGCAAAGCTCTCGGAAAGCGATCCGATCAAGTGTCAAACGCTTTTGGAGTACCTAGTCTTGTCTCCGCCCGTCTCAGTCTGGATGGGTTGCTAAAACATGTCGAAATGAATTGGGGCCAATCGGAGGCCGGACTTACTCCCGTCCTTGGCACCATCGGCAGAAAGTGAGGACTTTGCACTGCTGCAAGCACCGCAGCCATTAGCTGTTGTTGTTGTTGTTGTTGTTGTTGTTGCTGCTGCTGCTGCTGCTGTTGTTGTTGATGTTGTTGTTGCTGCTGGTGATGTTGGTGATTGTGTTGATGGTGCTGTTGGTGGTGGTAGAGTTGGTGGTGCTGTTGTTGCGAGTGGTGGGGGTAGAGTGGGGCATGCAGAAGGCCGGTGGCCGCGAGTTGCGGCGACAGGGTGGCGTCGCATGCGGCTGCGGACAGACCGGCTCCGACTCCCACTCCCACTCCGGCTCCGGCGAGATAGTCGAGCATGCCGGAGGCGATGTAGTCGCAACCGGGTGCGGCTGCCAAGGTGTAGCTGGGCGCGCCGGGCAGGTAGCAGGCGCCCAGTTGCGAGTGGGCCACGGAGAAAGCGGAACTGCCGACGGACGAATGCTCGGTTGCCAGGCCGCAGTCGGCCGGTTCTCGGGCGACGGACTCGAAGCCGCCGGCGGTCTGGAGGACCAGTGAGCGGCTTGTCGCCGGCCCGGCGCTTAGATTGTCCTGTTTGAGGCCGGCCGAGGCGTTGGGCGCCGGCATATCGAGCCTCAGAGACGTGGGTAACCCGTTGCCGGGGCCAGGAGGGACACCGAAACCGGGACCGAAACCTGGACCGAGTAGGCAGGAGGCTTGCGCCGTCGACAAGTTCGGGTAGCCAGAGGACGGCAAATTGTCACAGCCGCCAATCAGAATTGCCGCCGATTTGCCGGACTATACATGCACAGAAGAGGAGGAGAGTAAAGTAGAGTGGAGTGTGATGGAATAAAGTAAAGTGAATTAGAGTGGAGTGAAATGAAGTTGAATGGAATAGAGTGGATTAGAGCTGAGTGAAAATGAGCAGAGTGCGAAAGATGAATTGAGTGAAGTGGAAGGAAGTGGATTCGAGTAGAGAGTTGGAGTGCAGTGTGGTAGAGTATGGTAGAATGGAGTATAGTGGAGTGAATTGGATTGAGTGAATCAAAGTGGAGTAGAGTTGTAGAGTGTCGGAGAGGGGAAGAGAGTATGGTGGAAAAAAGTGTATTAGAGTGTGGTTAAGGAAAGTGGAGAGAGGAGGGTTGAAATAGAGAGGAGTGTAGTGTGGTAGAAGGAAATAAAGTGGGGTGAAGTGAAGCTGAGTTGAGCTTGGTAAAGATGGGTGGAATGAAGAGGAGAATTGAGTGAAATAGAAAGAAGTGGATTCGAGTAGAGTTGTGGTTAATGGAGAG